TTATCAGTAACATATGAAAGTCTCTTTGTAAGTAAATAGGACAAAATATTTGCAAAGGATATGGGAAGGAGATTTACAGAAGAGAAACTTCAAATTGCCAATATAACTGTGAAAAATGTTCAATTTCAAAGGATCCAAATTAGACTAAGATAAAATTTTCAGCTATTAGATTGGAAAAACTTATAAAAAGATCATTAAAAATACTTATAAAAAATTATAAGTACCAGTAAGTGTTCAGGGAATGAACATACTTATGTGTTGCTGGTGAGACAGCAAATTCTGAAAATGTAACATTCTTACATTTGCTGGTGAGACAGCAAATTCTGAAAATGTCCTCAAGGCAAAGTGGGCAACATTAATTCATTAAACAAATATTTATTGAGCTCCTCTGTGCCTCAGGCATGTGGTAACAACATACAGCCTGTCCTAGCTCTCATTTCCTTTCCAGTGTAGTGCAGGAGATAGACATTAAAGAAGAAACTATACAAACAAGTTCATAATTGATGCAGTTGTAGAAAGTACTTATAAATGTGTTTGATAAGGGGTCCTAACCTGGTCAGGGTCATTGGAAAGACTTCCCTAAGGGGGTGATTCTTTTTTTTTTTTTTTGAGACGGAGTCTGGCTCTGTCACCCAGGCTGGAGTGCAGTGGCGCGATCTCGGCTCACTGCAAGCTCCGCCTCCCGGGTTTACGCCATTCTCCTGCCTCAGCCTCCCGAGTAGCTGGGACTACAGGCGCCCGCCACCTCGCCCGGCTAGTTTTTTTTGTATTTTTTAGTAGAGACGGGGTTTCACCGTGTTAGCCAGGATGGTCTCGATCTCCTGACCTCGTGATCCGCCCATCTCGGCCTCCCAAAGTGCTGGGATTACAGGCTTGAGCCACCGCGCCCGGCCAGGGGGTGATTCTTAAGCCAAGTCTAGCACAATGAGACAAATTTGGGGAGGAGAATAGTGAGGGAAACTGTCTGGACAGGGAAAGTGGCAGGGTGAAAGCTCTGATGAACTCTGGGATGGTTCAGTTGTCTACCCTGCCATACCTGTCATTCCTGGAGTGCTCTGGCCCTGGCTGGTTTTCCCTGATTCCACTCCTGATTCCAAAGCTGCTATGATATATTAGCTACAATACCCAGTTTTCAACGGAAAATTACTAGATGAAGAAACAGGAAAATGCGTTTCATAAAGAAGCTAACAGTTGTAATCTCTGGGCCCAGAATTTAGATTTAGCAGTTACAGACTTCAAAGTACCTGTTATAAATATGTTTGAAGAATTAAAGAAAAATAGGTTCATAGGAAAATATGTTCAAGGAATTAAAGGAAAATATGATACCAATGAGTGAAGAGAGAATTTGCACAGACAAATGGACACATCAGTGAGAATTCTAGAGCTGAAAAGGACAATAACGAAATTTAAAAAATTCATTAGATGGGCTCCAGTTCTGGAGATGGCAGAAAAACAAAGGACCAGTAAACTTGAAGACACATCAGCAGAAAATATTTAACTCGAAGAAAAGAGGGAAATAGAATTGGAGTAAAAAGGCTGGGCATGGTGGCTCATGCCTCACTTTGGGAGGCCAAGGCGGGTGGGCCACCTGAAGTCAGGAGTTCGAGTCCAGCCTGGCCAATATGGTGAAACCCCATCTCTACTAAAAATATAAAAACTAGGCCGGGCGCGGTGGCTCAAGCCTGTAATCCCAGCACTTTGGGAGGCCGAGACGGGTGGATCACGAGGTCAGGAGATCGAGACCATCCTGGCTAACACAGTGAAACCCCGTCTTTACTAAAAAAAAATACAAAAAAATTAGCCCGGCGAGGTGGCGGGTGCCTGTAGTCCCAGCTACTCGGGAGGCTGAGGCAGGAGAATGGCGTGAACCCAGGAGGCGGAGCTTGCAGTGAGCCGAGATCGCGCCACTGCACCGTCTCAAAAAAAAAAAAAAAAAAAAAAAATATATATATATATATATAAATTAGCCAAGTGTGGTGGCAGGTGCCTGTAATCCCAGCTACTTGGGAGGCTGAGGCAGGAGAATTGCTTGAACTCAGGAGATGGAGGTTAAGATTACGCTACTGCACTTCAGTCTGGGTGACAGTGAGACTCTGTCTCGAAAAAAAAAAAAAAGGAGAAAAAAGAAAAGAATGTCAGTGTCCTCTTGGACAGTACCAAGCACCACAAATACATGTAGTTGGAGTCCCAGAAGGAGAAGAGAGAGACATAGGGGCAGAATAAATTTGAGGAAATAATGGTTGAAAACTTCTCAGTATTAATGGAAAGCATTAACTTGCAGATCCAAAAAGCTCAACAAACCCCAAGCAGAGTAAACACAAGTAAAATCACTCCTAGGCCAATCACAGTCAAATTTCTTTTTTTTTTTTTTTTTTTTTTTGAGACGGAGTCTCGCTCTGTCGCCCAGGCTGGAGTGCAGTGGCCGGATCTCAGCTCACTGCAAGCTCCGCCTCCCGGGTTCACGCCATTCTCCTGCCTCAGCCTCCCGAGTAGCTGGGACTACAGGCGCCCACCACCTCACCCGGCTATTTTTTTGTATTTTTTTAGTAGAGACGGGGTTTCACTGTGTTAGCCAGGATGGTCTCGATCTCCTGACCTCGTGATCCACCCGTATCGGCCTCCCAAAGTGCTGGGATTACAGGCTTGAGCCACCGCGCCCGGCCCACAGTCAAATTTCTTTTTTTTTTTTGAGACGGAGTCTTGCTCTGTCACCCAGGCTGGAGTGCAGTGGCCAGATCTCGGCTCACTGCAAGCTCCGCCTCCCGGGTTCACGCCATTCTCCTGCCTCAGCCTCCCGAGTAGCTGGGACTACAGGTGCCCGCCACCTCGGCCGGCTAGTTTTTTGTATTTTTTAGTAGAGACGGGGTTTCACTGTGTTAGCCAGGATGGTCTCGATCTCCTGACCTCATGATCCACCCGTCTCGGCCTCCCAAAGTGCTGGGATTACAGGCTTGAGCCACCGCGCCCGGCCCACAGTCAAATTTCTAAAAGTCAAAGGCTAAGGAAAAATTTTGAAAGGTTTGGAAGATAAAAAAAAAATGACTTGTCCAATAAAGGGGAATTATGACATAACAGCAAGTAGCTTCCTAAAAAAGAGGGAGTGCAAATTCAGAGGCTGCCTCGTTTATCTAATCAGAGGCCCAAGAGTAGACGTTAGTGAGAAGGAAAGATAATTAATATTTAGTGATATATTATACACGAATCCCCTAGAACTGAAGGAAGAGGTGAGTCCCTCAGATTGGAAGAGATCAGTGAATGCCAAGTAGGACAAATGAAAGAACAAAAATTAAAATCTCAACATTCCACTAGAAGGTACCTCATAATGGAATTTCAGAACATCTAGGAAAGAGAGAAAAGAAATCTAAAGCTACTAGTAAAAAAAAAAAAAAAAAAATCATAAATCTACTAATAAATAAAAGCTACTGCTTCTAGAGAAAATTCATCAGATTGACATCAGATCCTCATCAGTCATAAGCAGTGTTCCTGTTTACCAGCAATTGCAAGTTAGAAGATGTAACAAAACTTAAATCTCCCATTTATGGTAATGCTAAAACATACAAGAAGCCTGACACGAAATCTCTCAAGGAATATGTTAAAAAAAAAAAAAAAAAAAAAAAAAAAGATGGGATTTCTGTGACAAGCTGATTCTGTAATTCATGTGGGAATGGAAATGTCCAAGAATAGCCGGGGAAAGCAGAAGAAGAACTAGATGGTGAGAACTTGCCCTACTAGATTATAAAATGTACACAGGAATTAGGCCGGGTGCAGTGGCTCATGCCTGTAATGCCAGCACTTTAGGAGGCTGAGGCGGATCACCTGAGGTCTGGAGTTTGAGACCAGCCTTGCCAACACAGTGAAACTCTGTCTCTACTAAAAATACAAAAATTGGCCAGGCGTGGTGGCAGGCATCTGTAATCCCAGCTACTCAGGAGGCTGTGGCAGGAGAATCACTGGAACCTGGGAGGCAGAGGCTGCAGTGAGCCGAGACCATACCACTGCACTCCAGCCTAGTTGACTCCACTTCAAAACAAAACAAAACAAAACAAAAACATAAGAAAAGCAATACTTTTTTCTCTTTGTTTTTTTCCTTTTTTTTTTTTTGACACGGAGTCACACTGTGTCGTCAGGCTGGAGTGCAGTGGTGCAATCTCAGCTCACTGCAACCTCTGCCTCCCGGGTTCCAGCAATTCTCCTAACTCAGCCTCCTGAGTAGTTGGGATTACAGGCGCCTACCACCATGCCTGGCTAAATTTTATATTTTTAGTAGAGACAGGGTTTCACCTTGTTGGCCAGGCTGGTCTCAAACTCCCGACTTCAGGTGATCCGCCTGCCTTAGCCTCCCAAAGTGCTGGGATTATAGGCATGAGCCACCGCACCCGTGCAAAAAGCAATACTTTAAGTCAACTTGCAAAAAATTGAGTGTGTTTCTATATGGGTTGCGAAGATGCCTTCAACAAGGTACAGAAAACACAAATCACAGATGAAACCATTGGTTAATGATAACATCACTTCATGACAAAATATAGCGAAGTGAAAAGGTAAGTGACATAGAGGAAAAAAATGTCATAGGCTTGGAAATGGGTTTACGGGGGGTGTCCTTTCAGTGGTGTGCTGAGTGGCTGAGTGGTATCTGTCTAGTGACCCCGCTGGGAATGATCTGATTCCATGGGGTCCTTCTTCAACTGCTATGCTATGGACTAAGCTATTTTACAGCTCTGTCAGGGGAGAAGTTAACTTATAGAAAACCAATTATAAGGCCAATGATCCAGCCCATAGAATGCAAATGAATTTTGCTCCATAGAGATTGAATTGAATTCTGTCCCATGGAAAAGATAATCCCAAACAGTACACTTTATTGCCCTCTACGATATTAAGCACTTTGCACCAATAAGCAAATCTGTTTCGGCTTTCCTCGTTGCCTACACAGCTGTCCTTCCGATTCTCCTTTGAACTGGTTTTAACATCTTACTGGTTCCCTTATTAATGAGTTAAATAAAATCTTAGGTGTGTTCAATTTTTATTTTGTATGAGAACCATGATTTTGCCTCTAAACATTAATCTTTATCTACAAGAGTTTGAATTCATAATATATGTAAGAACAAAAGGAGGTCCTATACATTAACAAAAAGACAAAAATCCAATTAAACACGAATGAAGTTTTTATGCAGAGAAGAAATAACCTCATTAGTAATCAGAGAAAGTAAAATTAAAACAACAGCTTCTCATTTTTCACTCACAGCAGGTTTCAGCTGCTCTGAAGTGGTGGCCATTGTCAGGATAGGGCCTGGGAACTGGGGAGCGGCTGGCCAGGGCAGACTTATCTGTGAGGTCTGAATATCTTTAAAAAGAAAGATCCCCTGGGCTCCTGGGGGCGGGGTCTAGGGCCGTAGGGGACATTGGCAGTCGCCCAGGTGAGAGGGTTCAGATCTGTGTACATTTTATTGTAGCAGAGATACTGCAAGGGGGAGGGGGGGTCCGGGTGGCTTGGGGCATCTGGGGCTCTGGCAGTGACATCCCTGGGGGCTGACATCTGCCTCTGCCCTGAGGCCTGCAGAAGGAGTCCAGTCTTCTCTTGCCAACCAGCGAGACAGAGGTCAGAAGTCATGAGGAGCCCCCATCCAGAAGTGGCGGGTGCCCTGGCTCAGCTCCAAGAAGCCCTCATGGGTTGGGACATTGGAGGAGGCATTCTTGATCTCAACAGGGTGACCCAGTGGAGATGTGGGGCTGCTGCAGGTGGCTGGGGGTTGGAGGTCTTTCCGCTGTGTGGACATAGACAAGCCAGAGACCGCGGAGGTGTGTGCCTGTCTCCTGGCCCAGGCCTGCTGCTGCTGGCCCCGTCCTCTCCACCCAACCCCCCTTTGGGCAGGTGGCCTCAGAAATATTGGAGGGGATGGCCAGGCGCAGTGGCTCACGCCTGTAATCCCAGTACTTTGGGAGGCTAAGGCGGATGGTTCACTTGAGGTCAGGAGTTCGAGACCAGCCTGACCAACATGCTGAAACCCCGTAAAAAATACAAAATTAGCCAAGCGTGGTAGCACAGGCCTGTAATCCCAGCTACTTGGGAGGCTGAGGCAGGAGAATCGCTTGAACTGGGGAGACGGAGGTTGCGGTGAGCAGAGATCGCGCCACTGCACTCCAGCCTGGGCGACAAGAGCGAAACTCTCTCAAAAAAAAAAAAAAAGAAAAAAAAGAAAAGAAAAGAAAGGAAAAAGAAATACTGGAGGGGACTTGGGGTCCAGGGCTGGGCAGGGCTGAAGGCGTAAACATGTGAGAGTCTGGAGCCGGGTGAGGTCACGATAAGACAGGCGGGACAGGAACAGCGCAGTGGGTGCCACGCGAGACACAGGGTGGGCGGGGCCAGCCAGGCCCGGAGCTGGCTGCCACCGGCTGCGGCAGGAGGGAGCTGGCTGCCGCCATTTCAGTGCAGGGTGGCGAGAACCCCAGTCTGGAGGGGGCTGAGACCCGTGCTGGGGGCCGCCCGGGGTAGATCCTGTCTTGAAGGTCCGGCGGTGGGAGGGAAGGAAGGTGGCCGCGGGTGGAGGTGGGCGTGGCGCCAAGGGCGGTGTTCGCTGAAGAGCGAGAGTCGGAGCCCGCTGGCTGCTGCAGGGAAGGGAGCGGCGGAAGATGCGGAGATAGAGGGAGGTTCCCAGGAAGGCAGAGGGAACGGGCAGGCCCGGAGGAGCAGGCGGGAATGTGGAGGGGGGTTGGAACCGCAGCACAGAGGGTTTGGGCTCACAAAGGTGAAGGATGTCCCCCGGGAAGCCAGCGGGCACGGCAGCGACTTGCCCGGGTCCCGGGCCTGACTTTCACACACCCCCACCCTGCACCTGGACGGTGACGATCTGCTGGGCCCGGTGGCGCCTGGGAAGGCAGCCGGGGGGAGGTCCGAGTTACTGGAAAGTGCAAGTTCCAACCCAGAGCTGCGCTGAGCAGGGCCGGGCTGCTGGGGCGCCCAGGGCTGCAGGTCCTGGCGGGGCCTCTGGGAACGCGGAGGGCGCTGACTCAGGCCCTGACTCACCAGGGGCTGCCCTGCGGGGGATCTGGGTCCGCCGGGTCCGCCGGGTCCGCGTAGCCACTCAGGTCTGCCCCCCAGCGACCTTTCTTGGGAATGTTCCAGAGCGGTTCTTACTCCTTTCTGGAGGGTGGCTTCCTTCCTCCTCCCAGAGTTTAAAGCCATTTTCTGCACTTCGCCCCATGGCCTCTGAGCTCAGAGTTCACCCCTCATGGAGCTGGAAGGGACGGTTTCTAGAGAGGCCTCCGTGCTTGGACCGGGATGAAAATCCTTCACCGTCTTCAATGCAACAAAGCTGTTCACGGACCCCCAGTGCCATTCTCTCATTCATGTGTTCATTCGTCCCTCATACAGTCACTCATTTATTCAGCCCATGTGTTCGCTGAGGGCCCCGTGCAGGGCTGGGGATGCTGCCATGGAGGAGGCGGAGGCACCCTTGCCCCGGAGGGAGCTCCTGTGAATTTCACTGCCAGCAGCCAGGAGGGTGGTGAAAGGCTATGGAGCCTGAGTCGGGCCAGGCTGGGGAAGGCCTCCTGGGTGATGAGGGCGGAGGTGGGTGCAGCGCGGCGGAGTCCAGGAAGCCCCGAGAGGAGGCCGCCAAGGTGTGGTGGGTCAGGACAGGTGAGGGCAAGGGAGTGGAGATGGGCACAAGGCCTGGCTGGCGCCGTGGAAGGAGGCTGTGTGGGGCCGCAGGACACCTGGGGGCCATGGGACAGGAGGGAGACCCTGATGCAGTGCCTGCCTGTGGGTTCCCTGCCCCTACACACCCCCGTCTTGGAACTCCCTCCAGGGCACACAGTCCTCAGCTGTGGTCCCTTCAGGGTTGGCCCGAAGGTCCTGGCTTCCCTGGGTCAGCCCCATCGATCCTTAGCGTAAGGTCCAGCCCATTCTGCCCAACTCAGGCCAGCTCTGGTCCCTTCCAGCTGCAGAGCTTGCACAGGGTCAGGCACGCACAGGGTCCAAGTGCTGCCCCTGCCCACCCGTGTCCTTTCCCTCAGTCCCCAGTGTTGACTCCAGGGCGGCCCTGACTTCCTGCTGGTGCGAGCTTGCCTCGGAGGCAGCTTTCGGGGGCCCATGTGGCTGCCGGTCATCAGAGCATGCTGCTGCCTGCCCCTGGGCTCTGGGCTATGGGGCTGAGACCCCACGAGCTCCCCTGCGTGGTCGGGTGGTCCAGCCCCAAGTGGGGAAGTGGCACGGGGAGAGGGGCTGGGAATGCCACTGCCAGGGAGCCCACAGGGACACAGACAAGGGAGCTTCTGCAGGCCTGGGAGCTGCTCTGTAGACAGCACCCCTTGCCCTGGGCCCCATCCTTATCTCCTTTCTCCTTAAAATCAGAGCCTCTCTCCGGCAGGCCTGCCCAGTGTCCCTCAGCTCTGGGTCCTTCTAGCCTCAGTGCCCCTCGGCTTCCCACGCTGCTGAGTCACAATGATTGGGATGACAGGGTCCCGCCTCCTCTGCCTCTGAGTTCCAGGACCGCAGACGCCATTGTAACCCACGCACCCACAGAGGCCTCTCTGTGAGCTCCTGTCCTGCTCTGGGTCTCCCCAGAAGCCAGTCCTGAAGCAAAGATTCATGTGAGTGCCCCAGTCCAGGGCACTCTGCTAGTGGAGCCAGCACCGCCTGGCCCTGGGCTCTGTCTCAGGAGCCTGAGCTGGGAGGGCAGGCCTCCGAGTTGCCCCTGTGGAGGGCTTTTGTCCCCAGCCCCATTCCTCCCCCGGGGAGGGCCGCCTCCTGCACTGCACTCTGGCATTCTGGGTTTGCCTGGCTTGGGGCCAAAGACAGCATCTGCCCACAGCAGCAGCAAAAATATCCTTCACACGTGGGCCCAGGACTGGTCACTCTTTGGGGGTGCCCCTTGGGAGGGTGGAAGGCCTACAGGATATGATGCTGCTGAGCCCCAGTCACTGTGGCCGGACAGAGAAACCCTATTCCTTTATCCACTGAGATTCTGCTGTCTTCATTCTCCTGAATGGCTGGGCAAGGGAACTGCGTGCCCAGAGGGCAGAACTGGGGTAGTGCCTGCCCGGGCCCTCCCAGCGTCTCCCCTCAACTCCCTGTCCCCACCACCAGCCCCAGCTTGTTCCCCAAGACCCAAGGGACAGGCTGTGGGGCCTGGCAGCTCAGCCCTGACGGGCCTAGTCTAAACCGATGTTCCGCCAGGGAGGCCCATTTGGCCGCCCGGTTGCCTAAACAGCCCAGCCTTTGTCCGGGGCGGTCACAGGCGCTGTTTGCTCAGTGCCCGGCTTGTTTTTCCCAGGCCAGTGAGGCAGGCAGAGGCACCGGAACCATGGAAACAGCACAGACCACCTGTCCTGCCCCAGCTCCGCTCCCGCCCGGTTGCTTTCTCTGTCTCTGTGGACCTCCTGGTGCGCTGGCCCTACCCCAGCTGGGCCCTAGGCGGAGCAGGACTCGTTGCCTTGCCCCCGCCCGCCCTGGAACTTCAGCTGGGCCCAGCACAGAGAGAGCCAAGGGGTTTCTGGAGCTCTGGAGTCCCTCCACCTGCTCTCAGCACTCACCAAACACAAGCTCTGCGAACCCCGGGGACTGAAGGCTCCTTCCTCTGCCACCCCCTCACTCCTTCCCCCAGCCACTCTCCTGGGGAGGGGCCAGGGATGAGGTCAGCTCAGGGAAATACTCTCTGACCAGAGTTGCCCCAACAGGAAATAGGCTATATTGAAAGGTGGTGAGTTCCCCATCATGTGAGGCATGCAAGGGTAGACTCCTAGGGCTGCTATAAGGGAATCCTTATTGTATGGGGGGACATTAATGGATCAAGTAAGTATAGAAAGAGTTCTTTCTTTTGTTCATTCATTCACTCCATTTATTGACTGACTCATTGATTCATTCAGAAAACACCAGTGGTGTGGCATCCATCCTCCAGCCTAGAACATTCAACCGTGAGACTGTAGTCATGACTCCTGCTTTCATGGCAGGCAGAGTCATGTGGGTAAGAGGATGTGGGGGAGACACACATGAGAATGAACAAGGCCTTCAGGAAGGTGGGGTGGGAGCCGAGAGGGATCAGAGAGATTATGAGTTTTGTGCCGTATTCCATGGGTAGGGAAGCTGCGGCACAGAGGGATCCTCATGCCACACAGAACCTGGATAACTCCCCAGAGCTTCTGGGTCCACAGTCATCCAAGCTGCAAAGGCCTCTGAGAGGAGGGGAGGCTCCTTCCAGGTGCTGGGAGTGGCTCGGGAGTGCTCCAGCAACTCACATGCCCCAAGCACTGCTTATGGGCCAGGTTGGGCTGGGGAATGCAGAGAACACTGGGGAGAACCTGTTCTTGGGACTGACTTCCAGGTTAAGACAATCTTGCTTCGAGGGGTTGTGTGGCTGGCTTTAAGTACCAGGAAGTTCTGATCTTCTCACCTGTTCTAGTTAATTAGTGCTGCATAATTATCTCCTTTCTTATCCTTATCCTTAACAGACCCAAAACAGGAACTAAAACTACAGCCACTTTATTACGCTTAGGAATTCTGACCTGAAAGGGCACAGTAGGGACAACTCCACTCTACTCTGTGTGGTTCAGTGGCCCACCTGAGACAACTCAACTGGCTGGGGGCCGGGACACCTGCCGCTGGCAGATCCACTTCCAAGATGGCTTCTGCATTCGCATGGCTGGTGCCTGGGCTGGGCTGGCCATTAGGCTGGAACTGTCAACCAGCGCACCCCCATGTGACTCCTCATGGTGCTTGGGCTTCCTCACAGCATGGAGGTCTCAGGCTTTTGAACTTCCTTCTTAGATGGCAACTTAGGACTCCAAGTTATAAGCCATATGGCCTTTTATGAGTGAGCCTTGGAAATTACCCAGCAATACTTCTGCCACATTGTCTTGGTTGAAGTAGTCACAAGCCCACCTGGATTCAAGAGGAGAGGCCATAGGGCCCACCCTTCAATGGGAGAAGGACCAAGGACTTTGCAGCCGTATTTAACACTGCCACACTAGCCTCCAATTTCCTCCTTTCCTCTCTGAAAATTCTACCTTCTGCCAAGGTTGGGCTTAAGTTCCAGCCAGAAAAACTTCCTGCTAATTCCTATCCCCAGTAATACTTCCTGCCCACTGCTGCATTCTTGGTTAATGGTTGCTCTAATAAGTAATGGGGACAGTCATGAGTGTGATGCCCCACACTTGGCAACCATGCCCATGTGTTCACACATGTATGTTCTTCTTTGGTTCTTAGAGCAATCCTGTGAGGCATTTTAGATGGGAGAGTGGGCATCTCACATGGAGTTTTGCGGGGTGAGTAGGAGTTTTCCTGATGGACAGGGTTTGGGAAAGGGTATGATGAGCTTGGGCACATGTACAGTCGGGTGGGGCTGGAGGACAGTGTCACTGACTTGCGGCAAGGGGCTTCTCAGTGGAGAAGTGTTCCACACAGTCCTCTGTTTTAGGAAGACTCCTCTGGCCCAGACAGTATGAAGACTGGAGGATGACCTGGGAGAGCTGGCACTGAGGCTCACTCATGGACCCCCACAAGTGCCTGTCTGCCTGTGCCTCCTATGTGGTTTCATGAGTCCTTTCAAGCATTATCTGGGGTGGGTATTATCAACCCATTTTATAGATGAGAAAGCTGGGCTGGGCTCAGTGGCTCACGCCTGTGATCCCAGCACTTTGGGAGGCTGAGGCAGGCGGATCGCTTGAGCTGAGGAATTTGAGACCAGTCTGGGCAACACAGGGAGATCCCGTCTCTACAAAAACGAACCAACAAACAAAAATTAGCCAGGCATGGTGGTGTGCACCTGTGGGCCCAGCTACTCGAGAGACTGAGCGGGGAGGATTGCTTGAGCCCAGGAGGTAGAGGTTGCAGTGAGCCATGATCTCACCACAGCACTCCAGCCTGGGTGACAGAGAAAGACCCTATCTACAAAACACACACACACACACACACACACACACACACACACACACACACACACTCTGCAGATGAGAAAACTGAGGCACCAAGAGGTGTTTCTGGAATCCAAACTGGGCAGAGCAGGGTTGGGAGCAGCCCTTGTCTCCTCCACAGGCAGGAAGCTCGTCCTCCCTCCCCAGCACCTCAGCTGCCCCTGCCGCCTCCACCCCTCTCAGCCCTGACCCTGTGATCCAGAAAGGCCTCTGGAGGCTGGCTGCAGGTGGCAGGGCCTCTGGCTTACACCAGTGGGCAGCAGGGAGTGTAGTCACCTGCTCACTCGTGTCTGGTGCTCTTTGTGGCTATAGGAGGCAGAGGACAGGTGCTGGGGCGAAGAGGGCTGGCCTGAGGGGAAACTGAGGCCTGGGACTGTGGGGTCAGGGCTTAGTCTCTGCCACTGAGTGTGCACCTGGCTCCCTTCATGCCTGGCTATTTGGTTCTGGCTCTTGAAACAGATCCTTTGCCCACCTGGTAGCTGGCCGGCCACGGGCCGTGCCACGCCACCTGCCTGCTGCAGCCCGGCCCGGTCACCCCAAAATGCTGACAAAAGCCAGCTGCTCTCCCAGCAGTCGCTCAGCAGGCAGACACCCGGAGGCGTGATGCCTGCCCTCGTCTGGCACCGAGGCTGCCAGGAGGGCGCTGACGCAGCTCTCCCCACTCCCACTCCCAGGGGCTCCGCAGCTCCTTTCTGGAATGGCTTCCCGATGAGGTAATGCAGCTCGGAGCGCAGGAGGAGGCCACTGGGAAGCGCTGCTGGCCAGGCCCCAGCTCCCCGGGAAGATGGCTGCCGCGGCCTCCCTGCCCTGCTGCCCGACGCCACCGCACAGGGGCCGGGCAGGCTGAGAGTGGGAGCC